AAATTATAAAATTTTTCACCGGGTCTGATGTACATGGCAATTTTGGTGAGTTTTCGAGTATGTTTAGGGCCTCAAAAACGCGTGTCTTTGTCACGAATAATAATAATAATCCGAGCAGTTCCAATAGGGTCTTCGCACCCTTTTGGGTGCTCGGACCCTAATAATAATAATAATAATCCGAGCAGTTCCAATAGGGTCTTCGCACCCTTTTGGGTGCTCGGACCCTAATTAGAAGTAGTAGTAGTCATATCCCTGGCCCCTATATAACCCAGACCTTAAACCAAGTCTTTACCTTCAAATGGTCTGTGGAGGAAGTAAAAGTAAAATGTATCTGCTTTCCAAAAATGTCCTCACTTTCATGTTCAGGGCCTGAAGTCCCCACAAAGCTACAAGAGTGCAAATAAACAAACACACAGATTAATCAAAAGCACACACACTGTTTTTTGTTTTTCTGTCTACAAAATCAGGAAAGAGAAACCAGGGGATCCACAATGCAGAGTGAAAAAATAGGTCACACACAGTCATGTTGTGTCAGTTTCATTACAACCTGTTTACCAATGAAGCAGCTCTGAACCTAAAGAGACATGAGAGAGAGGGTGAGACCGGAAGTGAGGCGCAGGCAGATATGACATCCTTCCTGTCCTCTTCCTGCGATTGTGTCCCGCTGACATCATAGGAAGTAGGCTGGACGGAGCGTAGCTGCACCTGGGACATTCAGAATGGGCCCACAAACACAGTCTAGGGTTCGGTTAATACCTAGAAGTTATCTCTAAAATTAAAATACCATGCTTATTTATTCAAAAAGCTCCATGAGTTCTGTTAGGGTGAAAATTCTTCCACAAAAATGTATTTTTTCACAACGATATCTATCACTTGAAACCGTGCAGTTTGTCATGTTTTTACTTTAACGTAACTGCCGAAACGTGTAATTTTTAGTTCAAAAGTACTTTGATAAACCTACTGCTGCGTGTAAACTTTAAAGTGATCTCTCTCGTTGTTTGGATCATGCAAGGCTCCATTTCAGGGTGTGTTTGACTTCAGACAGGGGGAAGCGTGGCACATTCTCAGAGCTGACAGGGTCGATGAGCCGAGCAGCAGGGAAGAAAATCAATAGGATCATCACCTTCTCCAAACGGAAACCCCCTTTACCAGGAGAGCCTCCCTCGTCTTCTGGGCACCATGACAACCCACGCTGTGGTGAGGACACTACATGATCGAGTAGCTGTTTGGCTGGTTTGTTCGTTGGTGGATTGTTATTTAAGTGACTGATTGATGATTAGATTCTTTGCCAAAGAGTTTGCAGTGATACATAATTCAAAAAAGTGAGAAAAGCCTATGTAGACAAAAATGTTATGTTGGAAATGATTGTGCATAATATAAAATTGAAATATGACCATTTTTGTGCAGTGCAGACCATAGACTACTTCAATAAAAAAGATTTTGTGGGCAATCTTTAAGTAAATGAATGAAAGAATCACACATTTGGTGCTGTTAATTCTTCTGTGATACCGGTACAGTAGTGGGCTCATCATAACTAATGCCAGTTACACAACTTGGGAACAGTATGTTTAAATTTAGTTTTAATTTTTAATAGAGATCCCAAAGTTCTTCTGTTTGATAAACTGTAAAGATGAAGCCTAAAAATGCTGGTCCAGATTAAATATATCACTTGGTCTGACAATGAGTAAGGTACATTTTCAGGAATAAGCTTTAAAGTTAGTCAGAGTGTATTTAAAGTTGATGTGCAGACTACAAAGGTTAAACTCGACAGATTGACTTCGAGATGTGGTAAGACACTAAACATGCTTGCTGTCTCTTTCTACTCATTGTCGCTAACCCTCTCCACAGGCTACCTCAGTGTGTGTCTGAGCGGCTCTTGGAAGGAGCGCTGGTGCGTGCTGCGAGGCGGAAGTCTGTACCTGCAGAAGGACCCAGGAGACCAGCGGCCCCCCGTCATCGTGGTGCCACTCAAGGGGGCGGAAGTGGTGCCAGGCGGCCTCGGACCCAAACACCCCTTCTCCTTCCGCATCCTGCAGGGAGGCAACGAACTGGCAGCTTTAGAGGTGCAACCGCCAAAGATTTTAAACTCAGTTCAATTGAGATTTATTAATGTAGTGCAAAATTACAGCATAAGTCATCGCAAGGTTATATAGTAAGGTGAAAATCTAACACAGTTATATTATAGAGAGACAAACCCCACATCTAAACAATGCCCTTTGAGCAAACTCCTCCTTCATTTGTAAAGAAAAAAAAAATCCCCTTTAACAGGAGGAAACCTCTGGCAGAACCATGTTCAAGGAGGGCGGACATCTGTCTATTTTTGATCATGGTAAAGAGGAGAGAGAACAGGATGGCGAAGAGAAACAGACAAACAATGCATAAGAAAACAGGAAAACCACTGGAAATGTTGATGAGGCCAGGAACCACTGATAATAAATGCATAGCTTCAGAGCCAGAGAGGACAAAACTATGGGAAAGAGACAATACAAAGTTGTTGACATGTAACTGTGGCATATATTTATATGCCACAACAGATAGGAGGTAAAATTCTAAGAGGATTCAACTTTATTCTCATTTTCCAGACTACAACAAAATGCAGTCTTTGCATCTCCCAGCTTGTCAGGAAGCTGGTGTCAGAGCGGATATAGTTAAGGTCCTTTCTCAAGGGCTCAACAGTGGCAGTTAAGCAGCACTGGGGCTTGAACCTCTCAGCCTTCTGATTAGTAGCCACATCCTTAACTGCAGAGTCACCACTATCCCTCGGAGAGTAAAGGAGAGGAGCGCCGTGCATCAATGGAAGTCTCCCAGCAGCCTGGGCCTTTCGCAGCATAACTAAGAGATGATTCAGGGTCACCTTAGACAGTCCTAACCAAAAGCTTTGTCAAAAGAGAAATGTTTTAAGCCTGATCTTAAAAGTAGACAGAGAATGTCTGCCTCCTGAACCAAAACCGGGAGCTGGTCCCACAACAGGAGCCTGATGACTGAAGACTCTGAGTTCCATTCTGCTTTTGGAAACTCTTAGCACCTGCAGTCTGTGGGCAAAGTGCCCTGTTGGGACAGTATGGTTCAATACGGTCTTTAAGATAAGAGTTTGGTCATTAAGTGCTTTGCATATTAGGAGGAGGATTCTTGATTTTACCTGGAGCTGATATGGGAAAAACTATTGAACTATTATATTTGGCAGAGTAGATTTAATGTAGGCAGACCGATTTGTTTTTAATGGCTCTCTCTTCACATCATCAGAGACACAGACGAGACAGAGAGTCAACATGTGCACGGAGATGCCACACCTACATTTTTGTGGAAATCAAGCAGCTATAATGTGGGCGCATTTGTTTGTGTGTGTGTCCATCAGGCCAGCTGCTCTGAAGATCTTGGCCGCTGGTTGGGTGTTTTGTTTGCAGAGACCGGCAGCGCCACTCTCCCTGAAGAGTTGCACTACGACTACATTGATGTGGACACACTCACCGACATACGGCACGCTGCCAGGCACTCCTTCCTGTGAGTCACTTCCGTACACTTTGAGTACATGCATTGACCAAGGGTTTTCTTATCATAACGTTTAATCCTGAAATACTCCTTTTTGTGTCGGGCTTCTCTTTCCTCTCAGGTGGGCCACGACCACTGCTGCTTCGTCCAGCAATGCCTCGATAGACTCCAGAACTTATGATGAGGTCTATGAAAGCATTGAGGTGAGGAAACATCATCAAACCAGTGATAGCATACAAAATCTTTAAAATTAAAACCACCAAACACAGAGAGGTTTAAAGCTTTCCAAGTCTTAATCTGCTTTTGCTCTTTCTCCTGATCCCTTCTTAACTTTGCAGTATTCATTGCAGATTTACAGAATCTGAATGGACTGAAATTATTTTGTGACTTCTCTCCTTTTTTTAGTTTTTAGACAGCTCCACTTGTTTTCTTAAGATTTATAACAGCATTCTGTATTGTGCTTCACTGGAGCCCCAGTGCTCCTAATGGGGGTGTAAATATTAGAATAACACAATAAGAAGAACACCAAAATATTCACTTTAATTCTTCTTTTATTGCACATTTTAATTTGTTAATGGGCATAAATGTCTCTATATGTCTTTTGTCACGACATGTTAGTAAAAACTCTTTAAATGAACCCTGTAAATTCAGTACATCTACTCGATCTTCCCCGACGCTGCAGGATGGGGATGTGGAGAGCCGAGGAGGCCATGTGAGACGTCACGCCTCCTTCTCAAGCAGGGACTCTGAAAAAACAGAACAGCAGGCTGCCATTAAGAGACACGCCTCCAGTGAGTCTGCCTTCATTTCATAATTCATTAGGTTGGCTACATGAAAATTACATGGGAGAGAAATGTGGCCACAGCTGTCTGGCTTCTCCTCGCCATGATTGCGGTGTTAAGCAAAAGTTTGTCGAGGCGGATAGCTTCGGAAGCTTCTCATTACAAAGCTGCACCAGCACTTGCCATTTCTATTTATGTTTTGTTGTGTTTATTCCTCTCAGATGTAAATCAGTACGGACGCTATGGGAAGACGCGTGCAGAGGAGGATGCCCGGCGATACCTGAGGCAGAAAGAAGAGCTGGAGAGGCAGAAAGAGGACCTGAGAAATGCACTGATTTCCCTCCGCAGGGAGAAGAAGGGGGTGAAGGAGGAGATGAAGAGCGGCACAGGTCGGAGACACATCGCACACGCAGCGCTGTTTAGACTTAAGCTTGGTGGTGGTTACTAATTATGAGTGTGTCTGCAGGTCATGGTGTGGAGAAGCGGTTAGCTGAGCTGGAGACGCTGTGTAAACAGAAAGAGGAGGAGAGGGTAGAACTGGAGCTCAGACTGACAGAAGTCAAAGAAAACCTGAAGAAATCACTGGCTAGAGGAGCACTGGGTCCACCTACTGACAGCAAGATCAGCGCCAAGGTAGGAAGCTACAGCAAAGACACACATTTGTTTTACAGCTCACACTGAAACTCCTGTGTAAGAGTTTTAGAAGTATATTCTGTTACTTGTGGAGTTTTGGCCACTTAAATAGAGTCACATCTTACTGATTTTCTTTCAAATGATATCATAAAACTACCCTGACATTCCTGTGTGTGCACTGAAAGTGTTATCAGTTGCTGTCATTGTTGCGTTTTTTAGACAAGGAGGGACAATAAATCCCAAATTTCAGGAAAAGCTACGATGAAACTTTAGCAGTTTGACAGTTAAAGTGGGTATATTTCAAAATAATAGTCTTTTAGTATGGTGGAAATTTGGTACTAAAAGACAGTAAGTGAAGAAGGTGCCCGCTTGAGTGCTTAAAGCTCACATTAGTCTCAGCTGAACCTTGGAATAGAATTTTACACAGAACATGAACTGTGGATTTGCGTTCAGAAGGGATTTCTCCATAGCCAATATGGACAGTTGGGAGTGTGTTAAAATAGAATTAAAGAATTTCTCATGCTGCATGTTTGCTCGAGCCGACTGTATCAATGCTTCAAATGCTGTTATGTGGCAGAGTTTGTGCTCCAACTCCGCTTTCCAGTGCCAAATCTCAGTATATCGCAATATATCGTTTTGGATCTTCATCCTTTGCTATAAAGGAATGTTTTTTTTAAGGGAAATACTCTTATTCGAGTTCTTACTGAGGACTGTTTCTTGCCTGTGGGCAGTGACCTCCTGCTCCGGTTGCCTAGCAACTTCACAGCTATGATTGCAGGAAGTTACTGCTGCTGGCCAAGAAATAGTCCAGGAAAGTGAAAGAGGATATTTCCCGGGGCGATCCGATAGCTGAGTGGATGGGAGACGTACTACATGGGCACGAACGCCGTCAGCAGTGATTCTCCTTTTCGATTCCCAGCTGGCAGGAGTCCTTACCACATGACTTTTCCCTGCCCAATTTCCCCACATTTCCTGTCTGTCTATTGTTAGTAATAAGAGCTATTACAAGTTTTTCTTGAGTGAAATCTGACACTTACTGTAATTTTTCACACTTTCGTCTGTGTGTATGTTTGTTTGTGTGTGCAGGCGCAGGGCAGCAAGGTTGAAAAGGTTTACAATGAGACTTTACCCGTCAACTCAGCATCTGAACTCCGTAAACGCCCTCCATCTCTTTACGCCTCCTCTAAGGGGAATGTCATGCAGAAGGCAAAGGTAGAGTATGTGCGTATGTAGTGCATATTGTTAAGACGCTAACAATTTGGAGAGCTCTTTTCGTACTGATCATACAACTAGTGTATGTGCTTGTGCAAGGACTCCTCCTCCTCACTTTGTGCTCTCTCTTGGTTTCCAGGAGTGGGAGTCAAAGAAGGGGACCTAAACTGAACACAACCGGATCGACAGATGGATTCTTGGAGAGAAAAAAAAAAACTGAGCCGTGACAGGAGGATGTGTAAAAGGAGAATGTAAGAACAGCAAGAAAAACTGGCACTGAAGAGAGGAAGAAGAGATGGAGGAGGAAGAGGAGGAGGAGGAGGAGGAGGAGGGCGGACTCTGACATATTCTTCCCTCCTCTTATGTAAAGAAAAAATGGGATCTTAGCAAGTCCAAGCAGCACGATGCTGCCTCAACCACTGTAAATAGGACAGACTTGACTGATATACCAGTACAGTATTAACGTGGATCACTATGAACATCACGTTTATGTGTTTGCGTGAGTTTGCATGTGTGTTTACATTTGCACAGGGCTGCAGAAAGTGTGGTTCTTCAGCAATGTGAGTTCAGCGTTACAGCAAGACTTCCTACTTACACCCACTGGTTTTTATTCTTTTTTTTTTTTTTTACTCAACACTTAGAAATGAAAAATGAAAAACTAAAGACATCAATATTATTGTAAATTATCATTACTGATGAGAGAAGTATCTCATGTCTTGTTTTGCATATTTAAACATTTAGGAAACCGTATTGAGTATGACACTGTTCCTGAAACCAATGAGGAAATGTTTATTGTTGCAATGTGAAACGATAGCTTTTGACCATTATATGGGTATTTTTTTTTCATATTTGACTTTTGCACTTTATCTTGTTGTATTTTGTGATTACCTGGATGTCTTGGACATTAACAGCTCTGTCAGCAGATTCATTTGAAGATAAATACCTATGTCACACATGTTGGAGTAAAAAATTACTTTATCAAGAAACTTTGCAAACCAGATTTCTTTTTCCCTACACTGAAGGAGCATCTTTAGTTTGTGGCTCATACTTCCCTTTCAGGATGATCTTACTCTAAGAAAGCAACAATCAAATCAAAGCTCTGAACTACAAGCACCCTCTAGTGGCAAAATTTAATTATAATGCCTGTTTGAACAACCTTGCGTTGTTCATGAGCCACTTATGCAGTTGTTGTATAAGAAATCTAGAATAATTGAGGTATTCCATTTTCTTGTTTTCTGTTCCTATAACTGTCTAGCATTAGCTTGAATTTTTTTTTCCAGCTGCAAGTCGCTCGTCCATTTCCTACACACAGTGCATTATGGGACAAAAGTATCCATAAACAGCATGAATGTGTTATGTTTGAACACATCACATACTGAAAACCTGCTTAGAAACTGGTTTAACCACACAAAGGTGACACTGTATACACTAAAACCATATGAGAAAGCATATTTGAAAATTTAAAAGGGTCAGTTCACAAAAATAACAAACCGAAGTAAAACAAAAACTCTCTTTTTTATCTCTCCCTCTGAGATTTCTGTCTTTTTCAAGTACAATAGAAATTCATGTAATTTATGGTGTAACAGCATTTAGAAACTCAACATGTTCCTGCTAGATAACCCACAAAAGTAGATATGAAAGCATTTTCAAAGGTCTTTACCACAAAAGAAATTCACCTCAGAGGCTGTGATCTCAAAATCCAGGCTAACTTGATCAAAACCAAGCATGCAAATTGTCTTGTGCAATTTGGTTAAACTGACCCTTTAAATACGAACACTTTCTGAACTACTGAGTTGATCTTAACGGCACAACGTCAACAAGGTAGATTAAAAAGCAGACAGTCAAGTTGCTTCTTTAGAAAGAGTTTATTTAGTGCATTTCTAGTTTGTCCACAGCAGGAACCAAAATATTAAGTTAATCTGTGCTCCCGTTGATTCACCAAAGTTCTGGTCCAACACCATTGGTCCACTCATGTTCTGGTGCAATACTATTGGTCCAGTAGTGTTCTAACACCCTCACATTGGTTCACTAGTGTTCTGGTACGACACTATTGGCTCACTAGTGTTCTCTTTTGGTCAGGAACACGTAAGACCAGGGGGGGAAAAAAACGGACCTTCGGCATGCTGCTACTGAGCAGAGGTCCACAAGCTTCCATGCAACAACAAACAAACAAACAGCAAGGGACAACAACAACAAACAGAAAGATAAACAACAGCATTGCTTGTAAGAAGTAAGCATGGAAGCATATACAGTAAACCTTATATTAACCTGCTAAAGCCCTCAGGAGGTTTGTCTGATATACAACAGATCTTAAAAAGGTAAAATCCCCCCCTCCCCAGACACATGCGTGCGCACACACTTGCTCTCGCTTGCCCACGCACACAAACGCACCGACCGCAAGCACGCCATGTACTCAACCTCTCTCGCACACAAACACACACTCACACACAGGCGCACCTGCATGCAAACAAAGGATCAGTCCTCATAAGTGTACAAGGAATACGTTCGTCATTTTTAAAAATATGACTTAACCCCATGAGCTCTGTGTAAACATAGCGTACGGTAGAATAGATAAAGACTTCCTTCCTTCCTTTGTAACTCTCCTTTGTAACTTTCTGGCCACTTGCCTTTTTCGTAGCAGTAACCTAGTGAAGTTAATACTTGGACTCTTTGGTTCTCTGTAACAGTCTGTTTTATCTGACTGTGTGACTGACTGACTTTCTCTATCCCTCGTTTCTTTCTCTCCCTAAACCCCCCCACCCAAAAATTTTTTTTCCTCGATCTGGTTACGACACAGCAGGAAGAGTAGTCGAAAGGGAAGAGATTCACAGGTCCTGTCCCTCTGCAGACGAGAGCAGCAGAGCCAGACGGATTGATTGTCCTTGATTTATTTACATCACAGTCAGTCACAGTGGGCTCCGTTAAGTGGAAGAACACATTCCCGTAATCCTTCCTTTTTCTTTTTATCCTCGCCTCACCCCCTCACCAGCCTGATGTGTGGGCATGTCGGCCTGAGATCTGCGTGTGTGCATGTGTGTGGGTGTGTGTGTGTGTGTGTGTGGGTGTGTGTGTTTGTGTATGTGTTCATGTGTGAGGGGTCGGGGGGCTAGGATAAGTCATTGTTGCTGGGCGACTTCCCTCCGCCGTTAAGTAGGGCCGAAGCGCTGCGACTTTTGGTCGGCGTGCCGCTGCCTGAACGTGAGAGTTCTGTCAGGTCGTGGAGGGAGGGCTCCCTGTACATGGCCACTAGAAACACACACAGAAGCACACACAAGACAAGAATCATTAATTCGCTTATTGGTTTTTGCTCTAACTGAATCACTCAGGTTTGGTATGCACAGCCTTGTTCAGTCAGTTAAGTACATTTAGTTCCCTTGCACAGAGATAACTCAGAGGTTTAATTAATCCTGATTTTATTGTCAGAGAGGATTTCCTGCAGTTTTAAGCTGCACCGTCACACTCCATAAATGTGGATAAATTATATTCTGAAGTCACTGAATGGCAAAAAACATACAATTAAAAAATGGAAAAAAAAAGAAGCAATTTCCCCCCGCCCCTTTAAAACGGATTGCTTTTAGTCACTTCCAAGCAACGGAGACCAGCTGTAATGCAACAGTGACACATTACCTTTTTAAGTTGCAAGCCTTTTAACCAAACAGTTGCCTGGCTGCACACTGAGCAGATAAGGAGCAACATTAACATTTATTTGGAGTCGTGTTTGTGTCCATCTGATGAATGTAAGTCCAATATTCGGTCTCCTTTCAGCTTTGTTTTCCCCTCCACTAACTCCCGAGGGAAATATCTGGCACTTTAGCTGAATTTGTGTGTCTGCCGTTCGGTGCTGGTCAGGCAGTGAGAGCTTTTTAACTGGAAACGACTGCCTGCTGCGTCTAGTAGTTGCAAGAGTCTGATAAAAAAAACAGCCGAGTTGTAGGTCAGACAACCAAAACAATGAGCTGTAAGATACAAAACTGCACTCTAATGCTGGATAATTCTAGATTTATGTTTGTTTTTCCATCTCCTCTAAAGTAATTGAGTCTAAAACGTTTTTTGCATGCCATTGATGACTCATTGGTTGAGACTCTTTGTCTTTCCTAAACTGCCCATATGATTCCTTATCATGTGCCACCTTTTTTATTCTTTCTTTTTACTGCTAAAATTCTGTCACACTGTACTTTCATTTAACATCTCAAGCAAGTACTTTCATCTATTAAAATCATCTACTACAATCTTTTTATATTATCTACAAAACACAGTAAGTCAGTTCAGCAAACATTTTTCCCTGAGAATCTTTTGAGTCAAAATCACCCCGAGATGCATTTTGCATACACGCATGCATTTTCACAATTAGCGTCTTATTTTAGGCAATATTGTTCTACATGAACACACAGAATTTGGATTATCATAGGAGAGTATACAATGTTTTATTCTTATGCTAACTGATTGTTGCATATTCAGTCATGAATATTTAAAGATCCCCTCCAGATGGGTTTTAAGACCTAAAAATACTCTCCTCTGGTTTGTCTGATATCGTTTTCAACAGGAAAGTTCACTAAACTTGTCTCAAATTCTCAAAATTACATCTATGGCTCATCCATCATTCACAAATGCAGAATCTATGAATATGTGACAGTGTTTCATGTTAAAAATTTAACAGTGAGATGGAGAATGTCTTCTGTACCAGTAAATAGTTTCTGCATAATACTTAAAACTGCTATGAACCATGGCTGGCTTCCAAACTTTGTGATGCCAAAAAAAAAAATAAATCATGCTTGGGTGAACATGTGTTGAACTGAAGATTAAGTTGAGCTCAGAGAAACTTCACCCAATAAATGTGAACATGCACACAGCTCACATTATTTTGTACAGTAAAGCTCAAGCATCTCAGAAAAGCACCAACAAAGAAAAACATTTGAGTTCTTTAAAGTTTCTGGATGCCTTAAAACAACTGTTAAACTCCCCTAGTGGTCCTACCTTTGAGCGGTTTCGGTATGAAGTGTGCTGCGGCCTTGTTCTTCTTGACGTGGTTCCCCTTCATGATTCCCCCCTCCTTGTTGAGTCCCAGGTACCAGGCCCGGCCTGAGGCCTGCTGCCGATACAGCATGGAGGAGTAGGTGACGTAGTAGTTCTCAAACACCGACTCCTTGAACTTACACTCTGGGGTAAAATGTTCCTGAGTAGAAAAAAGTGACAGACATTACAATGAATCGCGAAAGAAAGAAGACGAGGAGGTGATGAAGTGGAGGTGGAGGGGTGGGGCTTTAGCTGCAGGAGGAGCGGAGTCACCGAAGGTATGAGTTTGTACTAGAAACACCATTATAAAGCATTCAATCACTCCTCCATATTGCCATCAGTGTGTTCATCCATCAGCTGGCCTGCTCTTTGAATCATTATCTCGTCCAAGCTGTAGTCTCCCAGAACAAACTGCACCAACTTAGGACAGCTGACATTTGCATTTCCTTATGCCTGCGTCTCCATGGCAACCGGCTACTCCCTTGAATACCAACCAGCCCACTGAGAGAAAGATGGTGCCCAGGTTGCCGGGGGAAACAGAAAGATACAGAAAGAGTGCTCTTTCTCTCCATCATCCATTAATCTTGTATGAATTTTGGCTAAGTTTGTGTATGCACGATCCTCTTATTCATTTAGTAAGAAACCTTGGAGGTGCTTGTGTGTGTATCTTCATAAATACTGTGTGTGTTTGTATTCTGCATTTAATATCAGGTGCAAAGATGAGACAAGTGATATCAATGTTATGACTGAAGCCAGCTCCCTCCGAATGACAATGCAAAGCAGCCAGGACTGGACTTGATGGAGCAGATAGTGTGGCGGTATACGTGCTCACAGTGTGGCCGTTATTACATCGAGGTGTGTACAGTTTGGTTTTCTTTTCTATTTCCTCTTTGCTAGTTTTCATCATTTGGTTTTCGCAGCTCTGTTTGGACTGCTGGAAGTGCGTGTTATTTTTGTTGATTCTTTTTTGTTATTGCTTCTCCGCCACCCACCATCAGTGTTCAAGAGCTAAAGTGAGGCACTTAATGCACTGCACTGCAGCCAACACTACCTTCTGACCTGTCTGAAAAAAGAAAAAGTAAATACATATTTGCACAGTGGGGATGTATATCAAGTGGGGGGGCGAGAGATGTGAAAACTAATTTTTGGAGTTGTGTATAAATGGACACAAAGTAATCTCCCTATCAAAGAATGACTGAAGGGAGATAAACAAAAGGAGGCTAGAGGATGATCTGAAATCAATCCTGAGAAGCCACAATATCAGGAGACAGATAAGGGAGGCTCAGACACTGGATTATAACACCCTGTGGCAGCTGAGTCACAAGGCAACACTGTAGTTAAAGTATTGATGTGATGATAGAACAGTAATGAGACTGCTCAGACTGAAAGCTTTTGCTTCATTACTCAACCTGACCCAAAGACGAGATTTTTAGTCTGTAGTGATGATATTGATGGTGACGGCGGTGATGAAGGCGTGTGTGTCTGTGGCGACCTACAGAGGTGTAGAGAAAGCCTTCGTTGTTCATTGCCAGGTAGAGTTTGGTCTGGACACCCTGGATGGCCACCACACGAAGCCCCACTGGGATCAGGTTGAACACAGCTACATATGCACATGAATACACGCACACAACACATGAAGACACACGCAGCAAACAAACATGCAGCAAGGAAAAACAGAGAAAAAATACTCATCAATATCAATGGCATGATGACACCGGGATTTCGCAAAAGAGATGCTATTTTAGAAGGTCAGTCGGGCTCTGAGGTGACTGAATTACAATTTAGCTCCAGGTACAAAGCGTGGGATGAAAAAGGGTAAGAATTAGCAAAAGGCGCGCTGCAAAGCAAGGTTCAGTAAACATCTGAGCGGTGCGAGGACACGTTTGGACAGAAAAAGCCACAGATTTCCTCTATCATGCACATGAAAACGCTCCTGCCAGAGCTACAATTAATGATCCGTTTCATTATCAGCTAGAGTGTTAGCTATTTTCTCCATTCAATCAATCATTCACTCTGTAAAATGTCAGAGGGTGGTGAAAAGTGCCCATCACAACTTCCCACACAGAAAACGATGCCTTCGAATGGCTTTTTGTTTGATTACCAGACCAAAGCCAAAAAATATTCACTTTGCGATGATATAAATAAGAGCAAATCTTACAGCAAAGAAACCGCAATCCGAGAAGGTTTGACAATCTTCTTGATAAGTGACTTCAACGATAATCAAAGCTGCTGTGTAATCAGCTAATTCATCATGCGAGGAATGTTTTAGATGTATTTTTTGGGCTTTGTTTAGGCTTTTTAACGCTGCAAGATTCAAGATGCTCTGGCTCTTTGTGGATTTTACAGCACAAACGGCAAGCTGTCTGGGCTCCACATTCTTCAATGCATGTTTTCACAGAATAAGTAGCTGTAGCAGGGACACAATTATTCCTGACATTTTGATGAGTCAGGCCCTTGTTTAATTATAATCATTTAGCCAACCATGTTCTTTATAATGGCTGCGGTTATATGGAGATGTGGATTACATGGATTATCCATCCAAACCCAGTCATGGGTGACTCGATTCCATGTGGGCAGGCGTTTACATGATGTATACACCATGTAATCATTTCATTAAAAGAACGCGCTTCCGCCGTAGCCGCGTCCTCCTCCATGTACACAACAGTTGGTGGCCTGAGAAGCAGCAGAGATTAATGCGAGATGCTGGCAACACCAACTGTGCACAAGAAGGAGAGTGATTGCCGTCTGAACCACAACAACAGAATTGAATTAGCCGTATCAATCACACGTTGTGGCCTGTGTGTGTGTGTGCTTGTGGGTGTGAAAAACAGAATGAGATATGGGGGGAGGGGGGATCTGTTCACGAGTTCAACATGTCATTATTTCAGAGATCTGAACATTGCACTGTATGTTCTGGGGATATTAATCAATTCCTTTAACCAGGAAGCATTTAACAGAGATAGATTGCTGTGTTGCCATCTGACATTTGGAGGAAAAGCGTGCACCATCTCACTAATTAAATGAACACTTGACATGTTGTTGAGTGACGGCCTGAATTACAAGTTCCTCATCAGACGGATTTCCACAGGGTGAAGTTTGTCATTAAAGTGGATTTAACTGGGTTTGGATGTTAACTCCAAAGTGTGAACATGGGAATTAAATTAAATCACCCCTTGCTTGTTATTAAACCTTCAATATGTTGCAATATTCTCCTGCACAAGGAGGACTATAAAGCTTCACTATGAGTGAGGCTGTAAGAAAGCATGGTGTCAGATGAGCTCTAAAGATGGTGTTTAAAGTACAAATTCCTAAACTAGTTGGAAAGATGCAGCCCAAATACAGTTCTTCTTTTTCAAAAAAAGTGACATTTGAAAAGATTTCCTTTTTTCGTTCATTTTTTTCAAATGTATTAACATACAGAGAAAATCTTTTTACATTCATTTTAAGTTTGTATTTAGAATTGTTAACACTGGAGGGGGATGCTTTTGTCTTTCAGTCTAAAGCTGATTTTAAAGCTGAAAAGACTTGTATCTGTTTTTAACTGAACATTAGCTGTAGTAATTTTTCCAAGCTTCTTACGTTTTTCATATAGAATTAATACTTTTCTTTAACATGCATGTATGATCGGAAGTTTAACATCTTTTGGCTTTGGACTCTTGGGCAGAAAAAAAAAGCACTTGAGACTTTACCTGACCCTCATTTGCATTTCTCTCTATTATCTGACATCTAACAGCCACAATGATTAATCAGTGAGTCAAGAAAATAAGTGGCCGATTAATCGATAATGAAATAATCATTTCTTGCAGCAGCAAGTTGGTTTTTGAAACAACAAATGAGAAAAATGGAGCAGCAGCCTTCATATATGTCCACAGACCAGAGGTAGACTCACCATAGGTGCTGTCTTCATCCTTGGTGCCATCAATTGTGCCATCAGGCTGCATCTGCAGCTGGAAGCCCTGGCGACTGGAAAGCCTGGTCACAATGCCCTTTAACTGGGGCTCTGAGAGGAGAGAAGAGGAGAGAAGAGATACATGAACTGCCTTCATTTCTTATTATACAGTCATGTGATCACATGGATCAAATCCAGCAGTTTCCAGGAAGCCGGAAGTGTCAGAGGAGGAGAAGCTGTTTATATTTCCAATCACTGCTGCTGGAGGGCCCAGTATCGATCACTGACCTCTGAACATTGTAGCTCTCATTAAAATCAGATAATTATCGACAGATGTGGCATGATGGAGTGGTCCAAGCTCTGATCTCAAATAATAGGATTCTGATTTAAGCAGCTTTCACAGATGCTACAACACTTTGCTGCAGGACAACATAAAGTTATTTACAGGAGATGTTTGTGGTGACATGAAATGGGCAGACTAAGCTCTCCGGAGGTTACAAATGATGAAGTGATGAGGAGCCCCGCTTTGTGACGAGAAAAAAAAATGGTGTTGGATGGTGGTGATGATGATGATGCTGGTGGAGAAGATGGTTGAGGTGGTGGTCCTGCTGATGGCTCTCCATGTTCACATCCCCCCCATCACCCCTCAGACCTGGTGGTCGCCTTCTCTTCCGTTTCTTCCTCGATCCAAACAATTTGACGCGCGAGAACACGTTCAGCTTGCTGGGCTTCTCGTTTGCGCCTTTGCTGTTGCTCGGGCTGCCGCTGCCGCGGCACGCGTTCGCCTTCTCCCGCTCCCTCGCCTGCCGCTTCTGGCGGATCAGGGAGCTGGCGATAGCCGCTGCCCGGGACATGTTCCCCCGGTAGAGTGAGACGAGGCTGTGCGTCCCGGTTGGAGAGGGTGTTCGCAAGGCAAAGGCGGTGTGGGGGGGTGGTGTGCGGGGAGGAGGGGGGGTCTACACCACCCACGGCTCAGTTCGCATCACACACCGGCCGATGCAGTCTCGCAGATATCCGTGATTTTAAAGTGCGTCCAGAATCCTCCATCGGTGCGTCCGGGCGCGTCATGGAAGTCGTTAAACAAATCCGGTTACTGTGCCAGTGATTGAGCGTTAACGCCTCACATATCCCCCCCTCCTCCTCCTCCTCCTCCTTCTCCTCCCCAAGGGGTCTGAGTGGCAAAAGCTGTCTGATTCCCCCCTCAGGTGATTCTTCTTTTTCTTCTTCTGAGCGTCCCAAGAGAGCGCGGAGGAGGTGAGGAGGAACCAGTCCCGGGTCCGAGTGGCGAATCAACAGCTTAGGAGGTGCTGTGAACGACACCGGTGGTTGTTGTTGATGATCACTGCAGCTGCTGCTTCCTCTTTTTCTGCTGCTGCTGCTGCTGCTCTGCGCCGCTCCCCCGGCGATGCTCCGCTCCTCGACGCTGTCCGTGACAGAAATGCAGCAACCGGAATGTTTGTCAATGAAACAGCTCGGGGCTGGTTCAGTGGGAAAGGGATCATGATGCAGCCGTGCCGTTCATAAAACTGCTGCAGCCCTGCCCGGCCCGAGGAGGAGGAAGAACGAGGAGGAAGAAGAGGAGGAGGAGGAGGAGGAGGAGAAGGAGGGTGTGTGTGTGGATGTGCGCGTTATGTGTCCGTGTGGGGAGGTGGTGGTTGGAGAGGAAGGGTGAGGGGTGAGGGGGGGTTTGGGCAGCTCTTTCTCATAGGGCACCTGTAGGCAACCCCCACGTGGCATGATATTTACATGTTGCACAGATGTGTGACAGGCAGGGTGATGGAGAGAGAGATGAGGGGGGAGAAGGGGGGGGGGGTATTTAGGAGGAGGAAAATAAACAGTGAAATAAGAGGAGGGGGGAGGAGATGAAATAGACAGGTGAATGAATGAGAGGAGGAATAATGGAAGAAGAAGAAGAAGAGGGGGGGTGGGAGAGAGAGAAAATGAGATATTGAGTGTGTGAGGAGAGTGAGAGAGAAGCTTGTAGAAAATCACCTACAAATGGATTGGAAAAGAGGATGATGAATGAAAGAGGAGGGGGGGAATGAAGAGAGGCAAAGCAGCAAGAGAGACAGAGGGTGGCAGAGAGGAAGGAGAGGAGAAAAAGGGAAATTGCAGACATGAGGAGGTGCTGGGAAATGAAATAAAGAGAAGGAAATAAAGAATTAAATGGTAAATGAAGTGAAGACCTGGTGAGGCTATGAGAGAGAGAGAGAGAGAGAGAGAGAGAGTGAGGGGGAAAGGAGGGGCTCCCCTCTTATTTTGGTGCAGAGGTTCACCACTGCTGAAAGGCTGCAGCATGCAAGAAGGAAGGTGAATATCAGAGGCGCCACTTCGGTTTAGGTGTTGTTTTTTCTACACGTTTTTACATTAGAGCAGAGGCAGGCATCCAGCAGCAATCAGCCACCTCACGCATGTCGACTGGCCGCAGGCAGCCCCCACAGGGAAACAGATGCACAGCTGTCAGAGCCAGATACAGCTGCAATGGCGCATGGCAACTGGTACAGAAGAAGAAGAAGAAGGAGAAGAAGAAGAAGGAGGAGGAGGAGGAAGAGGTGGACAAAGAGCCTCAGCAGTGGAGGTTGCATGTGGCATGTGGCACCTGGCACCCGAAAACAGCAGGCAAGAGCTGGTGCATGCTGTTCCTCCGGATGGGAAAGATAGTGAAAAAAAATAATCGATGGCTGGAGAGAGCGAGAGAGGATGTGGTGAGCCGGTAAACTGCATAACTGAAGAGGAGGCAAACTCAGTAGGCTGCAACCCACTGTGAGAATAATAAGGCAGTAGGTGGAGAAAAGTGACGGACAGAAACTGAGGTCAGGATCTGGTCACTGAGGTGGAGCCTTTAGCCTGCCATTGACTGGGGGGAAGTTCAAGTCACATCCGTGGCCTCCTTGGTTAGGTAAGACCCTTGTAAATGTGCAAGATAAATATAGTTGTAGCCGTGACTGTACAGTTCAACCCACATTCCCTGAGACAACACTTTAGCCTTGACAGATTTCATAAGTAATCTGTAATGTCACCTTGAAAAAAAAAAGAAAACAGTAATGACTGAAAGCCAGGTCTGGTCCTTCATCTTTCTTTCATGAGATCCTTGCTTTAAACCCAACACCACGTGCCCCCTAAAAGCAGCAGCCGTACAAAATCAGAGCAGCATAAAACACATCCGATACAAGGTGATCCCGAGGAGCACAGCCGGTTCCTGCTTTCAGCTTGCCACAGTGGCAAATTTAAATGTAACAGAAAGAAAGGCAGATCAATAAGCAGATCAATAGAAAAGCAATCAAACAAATGAGCAGCCAGACAACACAGTGGGAGGAATTAGAAATGGATTTGTCACTGAGATTAAAAAAAAAATATCCCCTTTAAATAAATGATTAGGCAAAAAATAACTAACAAACTCGAGTGTGTGTGGAATATAAATAGAAGACTGTCCTAATGTGACACACTGATGCAATAACGGAAACAAATGGAAATATCTTAAAGGAGTTTATACATTAGGAGTAGCTGGAGCTGTTCCTTTGATAAGCAAGTGAAGTTCTTGAAGTTGTGGTTGGAGCTCCATAGCGCCTACTAGAGGCAGTTTGGGAATTGTACCAAAAGAAAAAAGGTAAGAGAAGAGAGAGTTGATTATGTCAGAAGAAACTACTGGCTACACTTTCAGCAAATATCCTGCTGCAGCTTGTGTATGTGTGATTCAATGAACGGCAGTTTGAGCAATCAGCAGCAGAAACCCAGCAGCATTTTGTAATATCCACAGGAACTGACCAAAAGCTTCAAAAGCAGCAGTTTAATACACGTCAAGCCTCGAATTTGTCTACTTAAATCATGTCCTGGAACATTTTTTATCAAGGTAAAATTTAACCCTATAGCTCTTAACCCTGAGTTATTTTTTGCTTAATCTTATTGTGAGAGAGAGGAAGATGTAAGAAACTGGCCTGCAGGCCGACATGGATTCTGAGTATAATGGGATTAGTCCGAGTGGAAGGCGCTGAGACTTTTGATTCTGGGGGTCTCAGAGGGGGTTTGTGATAAGTTAAGCCAATAAAACAATTCATTTAACGCTTACAAAAAAAATAAAAGCAGGATGTTGTTTTCTGAATAAACATTGTTTTTCTTAGCTGAAGCTGTGAAATCTGCCCAATAAGTTCAGTGTGTCAGCTCCTGAAATACATTAAATATGGATTTATTCGAAGGGCTGCGAAGGACATAGCAGAATACTATTAGCAGCCAGCATTACGGGGGTATTCATTATAACTGTGTGTATCTGAGTGTTTCTAAAAGCCCGTCATGTGTCGAACAGAAGCAGAAGGGCGCGGCCTCTTTCAGCACCACGGACAGCGCTTCAAGTTGAAACTCGGCTCAAGGCGCACTTTGGCTCAATTTATACCAAAATATTCAAATTGCGTAAAACACAACTCTAGGAAATGCAAAGTTAGACACTTTTGGGATTCGTAGTTAACTGCAGGATCTATCCATAGAGGCCAAACACCAAGCAACATTTCAAAAGTCGCTTCTAAAGACTTTCCTCTGTCATTGAAACTCAACCTCCAACACCTTATTCCCAAAGCGGATCACAAAGTGCAGAGTTGCGCTCATATTCAAACACCTTCTCCTAAGAGTTGTTTTTTTTTTTCTTCACAAAATTGCCATCAGTCGTATTAAATCTCCTCTGTTTCCCTTCTGGTCTTACCTGAGGTGGATCGACGGAGAGGGAAAGTCATGCTGCGCCCGTGGAGCTCCGGAGCCTTGTGCTCATGGCTTTTTTTCGCGCTTCCTGTTGTGCGCCGCTCGACGAAAAGAGGACGAATTACCGAAGTTCAAACCGGAGAATTCTCCACGGCATTGGATCCATTAAGGCCGCGCACGCTGCGTTGACGGGAGATCATTACAGAACATTAGAGGCCATTAAGCCGTTGGAACCGGTCATCAATGATTCATCTCGAGGCCCCGCTGATCTGGCACAATAAGTGAAGGAGGGAGCCAGCAGGCCGGTCCCAAATCCAAGGATCTATCGAGGAAACTGTGTGTGTGTGTGTGTGTGTGTGTGTGTTGGAGTTTGTTGTAGTGTTTCTATGTGTGAGCGAGATCAGAGTGAAGCTGGAGCTCTAGAGGGGGTGCCCAAATCTATATCACTGCACTGGTAAAGTCTCTATTGACCTCCCAGTGACCCCTGACCTTTCAGTAGCCACAAACCATCCAAAAACTAACATATCACTGCAGAAGAAGTTACATGGGCCTCCTGCCACTACTCTTGTCAGTGTCACAGTCTGCAGGTTGATCTTTGTTTGAAAACTATTGTAAGCAGTGCAACTAACTGCTGATCATGTTACCAATTGATTGCTCAGAAAATGTAAAAAAATCTGTCAGTTTCTTGTCCCCACCAACTTCATCTTTTCCACTATCAACACTCCAAAAGCAGCAAATAGTCACAAATGAGAAGCTGGAACTCGCTGCCTACATTTAGGGACTCATGCACAGAACATGCAAAAGACTAAAAATGACATATTGGGTGCCAAATATAGGACAACTGTACGAGCAGTAAGGCATAAGTAAACCCTCAGCTGCATCTAAATGAGGAAAATATCTAAAGAATTACTATTTTCAATATCTGTCACAGACTAAACCGAGATAGTCCACACATAACCCATCAACCTTAAGCAAGTGCCAAACTAAATTTCATTTTTGTTCCTCATTCATTCATTCATTCACTTACAAGTGCAGACAAGTATTTTTGAATAAATCTATGTTTTAAATTCTAGTACTGTTTTAGTCCATCACAATGTTCATCTACCTCAAACAAGTGCCAAGCTGAACTTCAGTTTTTGTCCCTAATTCATTCAATCATTTACTTAGA